TTTTTTTTTCTTTGAGCAAAAGCCATGCTGCATTAGAGACAGCTCTGTGTAGCTCTCTATGGACTTCAGCTTTCTTTGGCGCATGCTGTTGGAGTAATACCAGTAATAAGGATATAAGAGGTATCATCAGAGTCTCTTCCGGGGTGTGAGGACCTAGTATGATGTGCCAGGTGTTTTTGTATGGTTAACCCAACAATTATCTCCAGTTGCAATCTTTTATGCTCCTCTCGCTGACAGAAGCAAGATAAGATAAATGCTCACTTTGGAAACCTCCCTTACAATTAGTGCTGGCCATATGGTACAGTTTGGGCCAATGAAATATATCATATTTTAGACCTCTTGGGTAGACGTCTAGGAGTATAATTATTGTATAAAACAGTAACTCTGTGCCTAACTATTTTCCAGTGTGGCTGTACCATTTTACATTTCCAGTGGTGGATCAGGATTCCAATTTCCCACCTTACTCACCAACTCATATTATTTTCCATTTCTCTCTCTCATCTCGTTTTTTCTTTTTTATTCTAAACATCCTATTGGGTGTGATGTGGGATCTCATTGTGGTTTTGCTGTGCATTTCCTCAGTGAATAATGATGTTGAGCATGTTCTCACATGCTTTTTGGCCCTTTGTATATCTTTTTTGATCAATGACTATTCAAATCATTTGACCATTTTTGAATTGACATTTATCTTAAATTGTTGCGTGGTAGGATTTTAGAAAATCTATTCTTTATGCTAGATCCCTATCAGGTATATGATTTGCAAATATATTCTTTCATTATGTGGGTGGTTTTCTCACTTTCTTTTGTGGAAAATGTGAGTTTAGATGCACAAAGGTTTTAATTTTGATAAAGTTCAATGTATCTAATTTTTCTTTGGTTGCTATTCTTTTGGTATTGTATCTAAGAGACTATTTCATACTCCAAAGTCACCAAGATTTATACCTGGGTTTTATTCATTTGTATTTCTAGTTCTTAGGTCTTTGATTGATTTGAGCTAACTTGTACATATGTAAGGTAGAGATCCAGGCTTATTCTTCTGCATGTGGCTATCCAGTGGTCTTAGTACAGTTTGTTGAAAAAACTATACTTTTCCTGTTGAATGGCCTTAACATTATCGTCAAAAATCAGTTGGCCATAGATATACGGGTTTATCCCTGGACTCTCAATTCTATTTGATTTATATCTATTTTTAAGGGAGATATACTAGAATATCCTCTTGTGATTTTGTGTTGATCAGTTCTCCTTATGTCCTGACAAAAAAAAGTAAGCAGATCTACCATACACATTAAAAAGGAGCTGGCAGAGAGAACGTTCACCAAGCAGAGAGCATAATGTTTAGAAGATAAACTCTTGAATACACAAGCATTTGCAGTCATGGAATGGCAGGGTGTAATTTACTTGCATAATCATGCCAAGAAGAGTAGCAGCTGAAGACAGCATAGTGACTGAAGTTGGAGGAGAGGACAGACTGCAGGTGTTTGTGGGGCCCTGTGTGCCAGCCAGAGAAGTAGGTGCCTACATCATCCAGCTCAGAGGCTGAGACATGGAAGAAGTTGTCCTTTCTGGTTCTAACAAACTGAGTAGTCAGTTTCACATTTCTGGTCAATTCACCATGCTTACAAGATTATTAAGAGGACGGGGCCTTTCCCAGGATCTGGCTTGTACCACAGCAAGGTGTTAAATATGCATGAAGAATTGTAGTTTATGGAGGTGTCCTCTCCTTCATGGGTAGGCATAGACAGAGGACTCTGATGCAGCTGTTGACTGATTACTCCTATTTGGAAAGACAAAAGAGGGTAATTAAGACCCTCTGTGTTTATGTCACTTGTGTTTTTCTTTTCCTTTCTCTTTTTCTGGCTTTTCTCCCTCTGTTTTTCTCTTTTCATAAACCCAGATAAAGCTGCATCCATAGGATTATTAGTCAACCTTCAAGGAACAGCTCTATCAGCAAAGAACTATTTCCTGAATGGTTCTTTTGCCTTAAGAAACTCTTCTGGGTTTAGGGTGACCTTACAGACATCATGAAGTCAGAATATCTTTTCTGCAGATCAGCCAGTCTGGTCTCTTACTGGATATTTCCTCTAGGTTTTGGGCTAATCTTGAAGGTTGAGTATGAATACAGACATCATCCCTATGGTGAGATTGCTGTCCTTACATGCCACTCTTTCACAGTTTCTTTTGATCATCCCCCTATTTGTCCCATTTATTTGATGAACACACAGAGTACTCACTATATGCTAGGGAAATATGGAGACAGGAATGAGACAGATGGGAACTCTGTTCCTGGACATCTTTGCTCTGGAAACTCAATGAAGGCTGATGGTGACTAGAAGACATACGTTTTTCACTGTTCCTTTCTGAGGAGCCATTGAAATTAGAGTAAACATTTTTTAAAAGGTATGAACCCCAAAGGATATATGGAACAGGTGAGGAATGACAGTGTGTGAAGTGTTCTGGGAAATATGAGTGAACGGACAAGTGAGAACTGACTTAATTGGAGAAAGATGGATCCTAGGCCCGGTAGGGGCAAATGCCAACAAAATCCAGGTGCCCTGGAGGTCTCAACAGTTAGGGCACCTGAAACCCAGAAGGTCATAAGGAAGGTTGGGCTAAGGGACTTTACACAGAAAGTACAAAGCATAGGGACAATTATATAAAAGTACAATTATACTCTCAAGTTTCCTGTTTACATGGAAAAGTCAGGTGTCCACTGCTTCCCAACCACTTTTGTGGCAGATAAAACTGATTTGTTTCTGAAGATATTGAAAAAAGAAGCATAACATTCTGGGATACCAGACTTAGCTGAGAGTGAAGTGAGGCAAATATTTAAAAACAGAGAAAGTAGAGCCCTCATCCTTTGCTTGAATCCCAGATTTATACCCCACATAAAATATGAATGAGCACTGCAGTATCATTAGCCATTTCGGAAAAACCTCTTCCC